TAAAAATCAATTATTATTGTCATATTTACCATTAAATTTTTTGCTATATAAATGACCATTCAATAATTAGTAATAGTAAGAATTCTAGAATTTGAAGTCATTGATTCCTATTTTTAGCATTAATGCTTATGTTTGATTAAGTCAGGTAGACATGCCAAATAGGAAGGAGCAATAATCTAGTGACAACTTTGACTTTATCAGATATTTAAAGAGATATAATGCTCACAATACTCCACGGCCAATTTTTTATCAGTCAGGATGAACAATGTAATGAATCTGTACTTAATCACACATCATTGTTTTTCACATGTCCCAGATAATCATACAGCTAGGAAGAGTGAGAAGCATCCCTAAAATCTTCTGGAGTTGGCTGTTCCCATACAGTCCACACCTACAGATTTTCACCACTGATAGGAGGATAAGGATTAAGGCAGACAAAACAATTAGAATTCCAGATTCATCATTAACTTGGAATATTATAAAATAAAAGTGTCTGAACCTTTTAATCATCAAATCAATCAAGTCAATTTTCAAAAAATTTATTTCCATAGATAGAAAGGAAATATTTTAGCCTGACTTCACAGATTACTCTAAACTTGGAAAGGATGTGGTTTAGTGTTTTAGTTGCTGCTGCTACTGTTGTTTGTTTTTGAAGTACTTCCAAACTCTTGGGACTGATAGGCTGTTTCTGATTCCAAGAGGTTTAAAATCATAGCAATTAGGTCACTTTCCTTACTCAGGAAAGTCAGGAGTCCCTATTTACGTAAGAACGTCCTAAGTTAGAGCTTTCCAATCTGCCATCTGCGGTGGAACAGTGGCCATGATGCAGATTTTAGTAAAGACCCTTATGGGGCAGACCATCAGGCTCAAGGTTGAACCCTCAGACACTATAGAAAATGTAAAAGCCAAGATCCAGGATAAGGAAGAAATTCCTCCTGATCAGCAAAGGCTGATCTTTGCTGATAAGCAGTTGGAGGATGGATGAACTTTGTCTGACTACAACATTCAAAGGGAGTCCACCCTTCATCTTCTGTTGAGGCTTCGTGGTGGTGCTAAGGAAAGGAAGAAGTCTTACACCACTCCCAAGAAGAATAAGCATAACAAAAAGAAGGTGAAGTTGGCCATCGTGAAATACTATAAGGTGGATGAAAATGGGAAAATTAATCGCCTTCCTCAAGAGTGCCCTTCTGATGAGTGTGGAGCTGGAGTTTTCATGGCCAGACACTTTGACAGACATTACTGTGGCAAGTGCTGTCTGACTTACTGCTTAAACAAACCAGAAGACAAATAATTGTGTATGAGTTAATGAAGACATAGGAACTGAAAAAAAAAAAATCCCAGTTAGAGAGCTACAGACCGCTAGTATTAAATGACCAGGAAATAGTAACACAGTGACAGCTATTGTGTAGTGAGCAGAAAAATCCTATACTGATCACTCTGCTAGATGTGTTCACTTATAATATTTAATTTTGATTTTTTAAATATTTTACTTATTATTTTTATGTGTATTGCCTGCATGTATATAAGTACACCCATGTCATGCAATGCCCACATAGACCAGAAGGGTATTGGGTTCCCTGGAGTAATGGCCAGTCATTAGCCACCATGTGGGTGCTGAGAACTAAACCCAGGCCCTCTGGAAAACCAGCCAGTGCTCTTAACTACTGAGCCATCTCTTTAGGCCCTTAATTTAATTTATTTAATTTTTTACCTTTAGCTTACCATTTAATTTAGACTTTCAAAGACATCTTAGGATAGCATAGTCTGTCCTTCTAAATAATTATTTTAAAAACGTTTTCATATATTGCCCTTTCAAACAAACTTTCCTTCTCAGCATTTTACAAAAATGACATTTACTTAGTAGTTTATTGTGTTCTTGGGCATATATTTCCAGTTAAGAGAGTTGCTTCTTGACACATTCAGATATTATACATCTTTGAAGTTCTAATTTTGACATCTTTTAATCATTCTCTGCAGCGTAACTTCTATTTAATGTATGTAATACCTGAAGGTTTGCTGTGAAAATCATATATTTATCAATTATCAAAGAAATTCTGTTTGGTAAAGTATAAGTCAATGAAGAATCTTTGTAAGCATACTAATTTCATTTTTAGAAAACCCTATTAGATAGATTATTCTCTCACTTACAAATTTGGAAATTGATGAGGTTAAGGAATTCACTCCTGGTTAATAAAGGATGAAAATAATATTTAAATCTAGGTATCCTGAACCATCCCAACAAAATGAAAAGATTACTAAATAGAAATAATGGAAGCCTTGTTTGTTCTTAGCTCTTACCACTAAATGCCTCTTTCCAGAACCTTCAGTGGTTGCCAGGTACGTACAATAGAGTCTTCTCTTTGTCCCACAACTTTTGCATCTGCTGTATCTTTAACTCTTTGTGTTATGGCCCCCTCCCCTCCACCCAGACAGGATCACATTCTGTTTCCCTAGCACAGCCACTTCCTTGACATTTTCTCATCCTTTCTCATTGCTTGCATTAGTTCCTAAAGTCATCTTTACCTATAGATGACACAGTGCAAGTCATCCCTCAAATGCCAGTCAAATGCCCTCCATCTCTGTCTGCTATAAAGCAATCTGAAATAGTCCTAAATAAACAAGCCTCCCAAACCCATGACAATCATCACATGCACAAAAGTCTCTTAACAGCTGTGTTATGTTTTCTAAGGAATCATATGCTCCAAAAATGACACACTACTACGACTATTCAATAAAGGAATAAATTAATGCATGAATAAATGACAAAATACGTAAATGAACTCAACTGGCCACTCTTTTCATGAATTATAAGCAGATTTCATCCTTTCATTTAACAGGAGAAATAACGCAATATTACACAGCTAATTCAAAGGTAAAACTAAACTCAGTGAACCACACATGTAGTCCTCCGGCTCTCACTCAGTTTCCAGCTATAAGAAATTTTTTAATTTTTATTTAAAATTCATCTTAAAATATATTATTTCATTATTAATCAATATTCTTTATCTAAACCTATCCATTCTTTCCTACCCTTATATTTTTGAGTACTCCTATTTCACAGATCCTCAATTTCTAGTCCAAATTATCTCAAATATATATCAAAATAATGTTTTCTTCCTGAAAATCCAGCAAAAAATACATGTGGTCTATGTTGTAAAATAAAGTCCTGTTTTGCTGTTGTTCTATGATTCTTCACTTATCTGATTAAGAAATATTTGTCTGCACATGCACCTCACTCCAGAAGCTAAACTTCATAGCTACCCCCTTCTGCTGCTGGGTCCCAAGGGAGACTTCCCTGGGACAGTCCAGCGGGCAACCTTTTTTCTAGGTTAAGGTGGTCATGCAGGAGTGTTCTGAAATATTTACCTTCCATTGCTTTTAAATTTTCAAATGAGATTCAGTCTTTTCTAAGAGCCCAGTACAACCTTTTTGTACATCTTAATTTGACTCACAACCTAAGAATCACAGGCTCAGCATAATGAAACTCAAGACAGAGCAGAGGCATATCCAAGTAAACCATGGGATGCTCTCTAAGTCTATATGCCTTCTCCATCCTCCAATAAGAATCACTGTCCCAGGGCTAGAAATACTTTGGGGAGGGGTTAAGAGCATGGTTGCTCTTGCAGAGGACTCAGGTTCTGTTCCCAGCACCCACATAGTGACTAACAACCATTCATAACTCCAATTTAGGGGGATCAGATGCCCTCCTCTGGCCTCTGTGAGCATTGCACGACACAGATGCACTTACATATGTGCAGTCAAAACATTTATACACATAAAATAAAAATAAATAAAAATTCAAAAAGAAGAATCACTGTCATGATGATCCACATGTTTTCAGAGGGCTGAATGCACTATGTGGGTGTACTAGAGAGATAAAGCAGCATGTATTGAAAGCTTTCTATGTATCAGGAGTGGGGCAAGCAGTTAACCTCCCTCACCTATTTAGCCTTTACAAAGCACTGTTATTGCCTCATAATTGGTTAGCAATACAACATTAATAAATATGCTGAGTTACCCAGCAATTAAATAGAGGAAAAGTGGGGGGAAGTGCTGTCTCAATCCTGGACCCAAACTCTTAGCCGCTGTGTTATGTGCAGTACTTATTGGGAGAAATTCCTCTTCATAAAAGATAGCACCTGGTCAATAATGGTGTGTGTCTGCTGTCTGCACTCTGGCTGTCAGCACACTAACACAGTTGGTCAAGGTTCACCCAGTGCAACTGTTTAACATAAAAACCATAGAAACTATGAGAATAGTTTTGGAATTTACTGAAAATAGCTGAGCCCATGATCTACCATGAACCCTAAAGCACTAAGCTAACCATT